AAAAAACGCGCCTGATTTAAATGTCACACCTGAACGCTCACATCCTTTTAATTATGTTTTGAAATTATGAACATTGCTCAACATCATGAAAATTAAACCTTATTTTCAATAAGCAATCCTGAAAAATATTTGGGGGTGCTTAACTTTTTTCCAGGTGTATATAATCTGACACTGACAGCACATAAAATAGTGCAAAATCGCATCATACTTTTGCTATGAAAAACAAAATACTTCAACTGTTGGATTATACGTAAAAACCATAAGAATGAGCATAAATTGAAAAGCTCGCTGCTACGCGTTTCGAAGCAGCGTTTAGAAAGATAACTTTTACAACAGCAATAATATTTATCTCAACCATTTCGAAAGCACAGAAACGGCAACTTTCATAACATTAATGTTATTACAAAAACAGCATAAAAGATATATATAAAATTCAATATATTTTCAAAATGCACAATTTTTTAATTTGTTCCCAGTGGCACGGCGGTATGTCTGCGGACTTACAACGCTAGAAACTGGGTTTCGATACCTGTGATGGGCAGAGAACAGGTAGCCCATTGTGTAGCTTTGTGCTTAACTACAAATAAATCAACAAACCCTGTTAACTTACTAAAAGACCTGTCGAAATTGATATTACTAATACATACAAAAAAAATCGGTTAAAAATTATGTACAAATTACATTTTACAAGAATGACTCTTAAGAGTATAGGTTCCATCCATGGCGATTCCTACACAAAGTCTCAGTTAACTAACTATAGTCAGTTTTAAAGGTGGCGGCTCTTAACACCAATCAACTTTGTAGAGAAAATAACGTCTAGTGTTGCCCCATACGTAAACCTAGAATAAAGAATGTAGACAACAATTTATGTGGAACTCTTTTTTGTTTTTTTTTCTTTCTTTCTTTCTTGTTGTTTTTGCGTAATAGAAAATATATGAACATTGTTAAATTTATAGTGTTATACTTTTACCTTGTGTATGTGGGACTACTTTATTACTGTCACGTTGAGAAGAGATACTTCCGGATACTTATGATTGAATATGAGAGTAGTTTGATGGTTATAATCAGATTTGGTTTGTTATGTAGGTACCAAGACCAGCTGTTAAAATGTCCACAGGGCCATATTAGAGTTGTAGATTCGAGTCACAATGTTTTTGATTTGGGACTCAAACAAAATCACTTGCGAGTAGCCCATTGTGACTCGACTTGCGAATCGACTTAAGTGACTTGTGGACAATCCAAGAAAAAAATACATTATTAAATTTTACTGCAACTATATCTAGAAGGATCCCGAGAATGACGTGGCGTAATACTAGTCACGTGTCCACCGCTGACGCAACACTGCCCCCTCCTTAGTATTGTTCGTCCCGAATAATAGCCACTTACATTAAACCAATAACAATTAACAATATCTTAATTAAATGTACAGAATTACAAACACAAAATTACAATTCAACAAAGTCTCTTAATTTTACGGGACGTATCTTCTTCCGTACTGGTCTCCGTCTTGTTGGCTTCTGCTTCATATGGGGTTCACCTGCTTCATCAGGAAATGTCCTATCGTCGATAACAGTAACATCAGTGGTAGTAACTTCATCAAGAGCTTCACCATTTCCCTTCTCAAAACTGAGTAGAGTTTCTTCTTCGACGGTGGCTTTTCAGGTGACACATCTTCAGCAGCGTCATTTGTTCTGTTGCTCACTTTGTCCCAACTGAAATGTTCTGGACCGTGATAACGCCAAAGCCTGTTGGCATGCACCACTTTTGGCTTACCTCACCGACCACATTTTATCCGGAAAGTCACATCTGAGAGACGATCCACTATGTCATATGGGCCTTCCCATGGAGAAGACAACTTAGGAGACTTCCCTTTGGTCTTCCTGGGATTATACAACCACACCTTGTCTCCAGGTTCAAGGCTGACTTCAGTAGATCTCTTATCATAACATAGCTTCATCGAATCAGCAGACGTTTTCAAGTTTTAACGCACTTGATGGTGAATATCATCCATCCTTTCCGATAACACTTTCACAAACTCTGACACATTCTCAGGCAACTCTTCATAAGGTGGGCTTCCTTTATGCTTGGGTCCCCTTTTAGCACTACATGTACTGTATGTTCTGCACCATTCTTCCACATTTTGCCTCATACCTATCCAGTAAAATCTTTGTTGTAGGTGACTCAATGTCTTCTTAATTCCGAGATGTCCTCCTGTTAAAGTATCATGGGATTGACGCAGCACAACTTCTCGTAACTTTCTCGGTATAACCGTTTGCCAGGTTGTCATTTTCCCATCTCCGGACAAGAATACCATCTTCAAGCTTTAACTGGTCCCATTGTGCCCAATAGTGCTTTATCACAGGGCTTAGACTAGACACCTTCTCCCAAGCAGGGTAAAAAGCACTTGTTTTTAGAAAATCAATTATAGGCTTCAAATCTTGGTCTTTCTCCTGTTCTGCTTTGATATCTATATATCACCAACTCTTTCAGTCACTTTGACTTCACCTTGATGGCACCTAATTAGTTCAACCTCTC